GGGCGTCGCTGCTAGCACGCGTCCGAAAACGGCAGGTGGACGTGAGATGGAGCAGCAGCGCAGTTAGAGCACCTCACTCACACCTGTCGTTTTCGTACGCATACGCGCTCAGATGCTCGCTTGCGGCTGGCGTTCGGTAGGTGGTAGGTTGGACGCCCAGCCTGCCTCCTCTCCTAAGGCGCGCATCCATCTGTCTCACTCATCTCCGTCTCCGTGCGGCCGGCTCAGATCACCCAGTCTGAGACCCCTGGGATATGTTACAAAGCTCACAGAGTCACGACTCAGACAGCTGCGCTTACTTGTTGTCCTATTGTTCATTAGCTTTCGTCTGCACTTTGTTACTGATGAAACGGTAGTGCTTGCAAATTTTATTCTTTGTAACGTTGCTAACAATTTTCGAGTTTGGTATTGCGAAGAAATTTTTTGCAGGCTGTCGGAACCGTTGTACACTATGTGCATTGCAGAGAAATAGCTTGCAGGTTTGCAAGTACTAGGTTGTTTTCAAATGATTTGCTACACGCAAAAGTCGTTTGCACCACGAAGCTATTATTTGCAAGCATTTTACAGTAGTACAGTCAATTCATCAATATCGAGTGCTCAATCAGTATTGACAGATTTAACACAATGTTGTGTCAACGTGTCTAATGCCGGCCAAACAAATCCGGTAAAAACCCGACACAGCCCCCCTGTTCGGGCTCTGGAAAGCAAAATACGCATCTGAGGTTCAAAACCAAATCTGACTTGTGACTTTGTGAGTTCTAGAGATACGGAGGCCGCATTTTTAAGCGTTACAAAGAAATAGAGAAAAACCTGAAAAAAAATAGTCCGAAATTAGATACTTTGACAATATAGTACACGTTTCTATTTCGGTTTACAGTGGAAGTCAACATGAAGGGCGCTGCGACTGAGCTCACAGTGTTGGCTGTGATTGCTGCTGTGTCTTGCGCGCAAGCCTTAACGCCGGATGACTCTGATTTGGATCTACTGTTCCCGGATAACTTTATGTTCAGTAGTGCCACTGCATCGTACCAGATTGAGGGGGCCTGGAATGTTAGTGGTACGTTACTCTCTAACTCAATGACTGGTGAACTGCAGACCTCACATTACCTTGAGGTAGAAATGGAATTTCATTCCTAGAGCTGAAAACAGAATCTGTAAATCATTCCTTGACTGTCTTAATATTTTCGTTTTTCGTGGGTTCTAGGAAAAGGGGAGAACATATGGGACCGGACAACCCATGAGCACCCAGAGAAAATCCTAGACCATTCTAGCGGAGATGTAGCATGCGACTCGTATCACAAATACAAGGAAGACATCAAGTTGGCCAAGTCCTTGGGGGTACGCACTTCTAGTAGGTTTTGACACGTGATTTTCGTGTGCATGGTAATACTTAATTCGTAGAATATATGGTATTTCGCGAAAATCGTCAGCTACTCTGGAAATAAGTATGGTGGATCGGCATGCCCCGCTAAATGGAATCAAATTAACGTTTATATAGCTCTATATGTCTCTATATACATGTATACAAACCAATATGTTTTAATTTATCTTGAATAAGGTTTCATTATATCTAACTATATATATTATATTTATGTTTTATATGTTATATAGAGAAAACCCTTATTAACCCAAATATAATATATATAATTGGATATAATGAAACCGCTTTATAAGATCTGTGTTAAAGGCAGATATAGTTTTTATTTAAAATGATTTCGCGGGATGGGAGTGGGGCCAGGAAGCGTGGGGGATCAAAAACAAGTAATTGCATGGAATGAAGGGGTTGTCAACTCCCATCGGCCGTACAAAGGAATATTACATATTATCGGTAATATAATAAGGAGTAATATTAAAGTACTACTGACGTAATATGACTGTGATATCGCAATAATATTATCAACAATTATTTGAGTAACATCATGATAACACACTGGTAAAACAAGTGAGTTAAGTTTGGGAGACATTAATGTTGCACGCCAATTGGTGTTTAAGTTCAATTGTGCATTTTCCCAACACATTGTGGTGTTTTACTATGTTTAAACTTTCGGTACTTCCGAATAGCAGCTGCACACCATCTGGTTCCTATATATTTGTTTGTGTCCAACTGTGCAGAATCTAAACGTTTACAAAACGGTTAAAACGTGCACACCACGCAAGTGTGCAACTTAAGGTAGACACCATGTAATGTTTAAAATCATAACTTGCACACGTCGGTGTTTAAAGTATGCACACTTGTTTTACCAGCGGATGTGTAATAATATCGGTGTAATATCAGCCTGGTACAGTCATGGATCCTAAATCCGGACGATTTTTAGAGAAAAAGTCCTGTGAAATCCGTAGTTTTGATAATATTGAAAAACGGTGGGGATTATAAACTCTACACTCTAAAAAATAATACAGAATTCTGTATCAAATTTGATACATGATTCTGTATCAGGCTTTTGTGATATGGAAACATGTAACATGGGTACAAAATTCGGTAATCTGATCAAAATGTTACAAAATTCCGTAAATGTTACTAATTTCTGTAACAGATACAAGATCAAGTAAACGTTGGATACAATTTTCTATAACTCTGGATACAGAATTATGGAACTTCATTGGCACGGTCTCCGGGAGCCCCGGTGGCATTACACCGGGTTCCAGCGGACCATTTCTCAGGTAGCCTGGGTGGCCGCGCGGGTAAAGGCGCGACTTCCTAATCCAAGGGTCTGGGGTTCAACTCCCGGTGCGGCAAGGTACATTACTTGAAATGAAATCGAAGGAGTAAAGTCCCCTAGAAAAAAAGAAGAGGGGGAAACGGAGGAAGAGTAACAACATGAAGGATTACAATTTTAAAATCCCAAAGATGTTCTGTATCAGGTGATACAGATTTCCGTATCCGTGTTACAGATTAAAATCTGTATCAAAAATGATACAAATTTCTGTAACATGTGTTATGTGAATTACTGCGTAACAATGTTACAGAATTTTGTACTGATTTTTTTTTAGAGTGTATGGACCAAGACGCACCTACCACCACCTTGAACGGTTTTTTATTATCTACGGTGTACCTGTGAGGCTCGCTAGAACAGTATCCTTGTTTAAGAGCCACAGTGCCTCAAAATTCGGACAGTTTAGAAATCATGAAAAATGAAAAATTGTAGGGGGAAAAGAAACTTCAAGAAAAAATTTGATCTTACCCTACCGTCGAAATGTTTTTATCTAGTGTAGTTTAGCCACCAGAACTGCTTAAAGATCGCTTTTAGAGTGCCTTTAATCTGAACAACAGCCACTTTTGCATGTTAAAGCCTATGCCTGTATTTAGGGGACTTTCGGAAATCGCTTCTCATACTTGGCACAAGTGACAGAAACAAAATGTTCTTGTATCATCCGGTAGGTGCACCTTCATGAAGAATCCTAGTTTAACATGTGTCAACCTAAAAATTGTACGATCTCCCGCCGTTGGGAGCCCCACATTTTGGCAAAGCAGTATGAAAATTGTCCGTTTTCGTGGAGCAAGTTTGGAATTTTTTGGAGAGAGCAGTATGCAAGATATTGGAAATATTTCTTCAATTCTAGATTCTAGAGGGTCTAACCCGAGGGGGGTTTTACTCCAAGAAAACGTGTACAGAGTACTCCGTATTACACTTTTCGCACGGTATTGCGCTGGTATAACATGGAAAAAATTACCATTTTAAAGCATATTTTGATATTTTACGGTATAACATTGTGCGTAATACCGTGTAATACCCAGGTCAGGTGTACAGGGTATTACGCAAGGTAAAACCCCCTCGGTCTAACTTTTCCAGCGAACCCTCGGAAGCTATATTCCGGTTACTCGTTTTCGATTTAGGGGCTTTATTAGTAGAAACCAGCAAAGTGTCCGACATCAGGGTGCTAATCCGAAGTTAGGATTCGTGACTGTACGAAGGAATATAGGAGTTCAGACGACCCCTCACATGGAACGAAGGGAATTATTGGAATCATCCGGAATCGATTTGGTCACGCAGGGGCACTACCTCGACCACTTCCCATTTAGTGTATTGGATGACACCGTATTGCACTTTTGTAATCTGCATTCAACTGATTTTTTATGCCCTTACAGACTCCCATGTACCGATTCTCGCTGTCTTGGTCTCGCATTCTTCCAAGCGGAGCAGTTGACCGCATAAACGATGACGGAATCCGCTATTACAACGCTGTTATCGACGAGTGCATCGCCAATAACATCACCCCTGTGGTGGGTTTTGAGTTTTCCTAATGTTGTTTCTTTCATCTTTAATGAGATGCAGTAAACTAAATTACCCACACGTTGGTTATTGACATATATCTAAGGCCCACAAAAAATTCTGAGAAAATCCAAAACTAGTTAAAACTACGTTTCAACCCTCCTTAAGAAATCCCCCTTTAATCGTCACTACTTCCTTATAAACTGACCAAATTCTTAAGGTATACCATCTTGCTATGCGCAGGTAACTTTATTTCACTGGGACCTGCCTCAACCGCTTCAAGACCTTGGCGGATTCTCCAATGAGTTGATTGCAGATTATTTTGAAGACTACGCGGACGTCGTGTATAAAAACTTTGGTGAAAAGGTCAGTGAGGAAACTGCTACGTGGTTCTCAAAATCAAACGTTTCTCTATTCCGCGAGGGCAGAACGACAGTTGAAGTGTCCTACACTAAAGCACTTTTAAACAGGGAGTGTCTTTGAGCACATCTTCATCAGACACAAATTTGTCTGTACGGAGGTACAAATTGTACCTAGGCTAGGTACCAATTCGGTTTTGTGTATGTAACATAGATACAAATTTGTGTCTAGTTTAGATGTGCGAACAGACACATCTAGACGACATACAAAAATTGTCCCACTTAGTGTGTAACCTTCCACTAAACGGAGCTGCCGTTGCCATCTCTACTCCTCTTCGCTGCAAACTGCGTTTGGCAGGAGCTGAGGCTACTGGTTGGCCCCTGGTACTATTTGGTCGCCTAAGGTCAGTCACTTAGCACGCTTCAGTACTATAGTAAGTTAGTTTCAGGGAGCAGACCTCTGTGAAAATCGTCTAATGCGTTAGGGAGGGATTGTTAAAACAGAGGCCCGAGTTGAGGAAGAATTGGGCGTTAATATGATAAATAATAGAGGACTGTAACCCTCCAGGAACATTGTTTTTTGGCATGAACCAAACGGGTACACTATATGGTGGCGTGCACGTGCACGATTCCGGCCGAACGGATGGACAGTGAAATAAATTGTCATTTACTTTTGAAAGATGCCCTTGTAGCGCAGGCGCGGATTAAGGGGGTGGGGGTGGGGGGGATCGCCCCCCCTGGCGTCTCTAGAGAGCCGCCCGAAAAGTAGACAATTTGCGCCACAATACCCCTGTACGCAGGCGACCGACAGTGCATCGCCCCCCCCCCCCCCGCCCCCCCCCCCCCCCCCCCCCCCCCCCCTGTCAGCCGGACCTTAATCCGCCACTGCTATAGCGTGACGAGAGCGATTTTCAATTAGACAGGTCTCAGGTTCTCAAACTGAGGGAAACGTAGTAAATTTCCAACCCAATTTTTTATCCCAAAACTTTGGCATTTTCTAAAAAAAATGTTGATATTCAAAAATTTAAATATCGCTCTCGTCAGGCTATAGAGACATCTTTGAAAATACTGCCCCCTTAAATGTGGTTTATTGTACCGAATAGAAAGTTTAAAGTTCACAAGTTGTGGTTTTAAATAATGGAACGCGTTGCTAATAAAAATTAGCACGCGTAAAATTATAATATATTGCAGAGTTTTTGGAAATACAATTTGCATGATAATTAAATTGTGAATTCACAAAATTCTTAAGAGTAAAGCAAATTTACTAAAATTATTAAGTATATCAAGAGAGAGCGAACTGTAGTCTTGCCCCGATGTGCGCGGAAGATAATCCACGCTGGAGAGACTTTACCGGCTTGCCCAGCCCAGTGCCAAACGGCCATACTCCGCGCTCAAGCGCACGGCGCTACCCCATGCCACTGGCAGTGTGCAGTCATAAATATAGTATATAAAGACATAGATGGGGCATCGCCTATCCCTGCCCATGCAGAGCGGTGAAGCCAACATGACCCTACCGAGCCGTGCTGCGCCGCGCCAAAGGTTTACATTGTCAAACAAAAACACATTGACGAATTCTCATACTGCCTCCCCCCTCCACAGGCGGCTTCGGGGGTGAGGCGGGCTGGGGGGGAGGCGGGAGCCGTCTGCGCATGCGCCAACCTCCCCCACCTCCCCCGCCAGCCCGCCTCACCCCCGAAGCCGCCTGTGGAGGGGGGAGGCAGTATGAGAATTCGTCAATGTGTTTTTTTCGACAATGTAAACCTGGCGCTGTCATGTTGGCTTCAGCCAGGAGCGCTCTTGCCCCATCTATGTCTTTATATACTATATATATGTGTGCAGTTCGAAGAAACAAAAGATACAGTGCTTACAACAATTGAATTAAAGACGCTTATTTTTAAAAAGTTCCTTCAAAACTCTGGCGAGAAAATTGCAGATCTCCTGCCTTCCCTTCTGCGCTGTAAAAAATATTAGGGATTTTGCAATCCAGTAGGCCAGGAATTTGCAACCATAGGTTGGGCATTCCCTTTTGGGCTGGAAAGAAGCCCTTTGAGCTGTGAAGGTATCCTCTGTATGTCCAGGCCTGCACACTTAAAGAAAAATTTGGCCACGAAATTTCAAGCACTGGTGGAAAATTTACCAGGTGGGCAGGGCATCTAAACTCTCGATGGCCTGCGACTTTGCAGTTCGCGGACAGTGCGGACTCTCTCTCCCCCCCCCCCACACGGAGTAAATTTACTTGTTAGGCTAACGGCGACACCTTTCCCGGCCAGTGGTGCCTGTGACTTCACAGTCGGTGGGCAGGAAATCCACTTGCTGTGTGGATTCCCGGTACATCACCGAGAAGGGAGCGTTGCCACCCCGGGTAGGTAAAATTCGCTCTAGTTGTTTTTTTACACTGTTGATTTTTTCGGTCTTGCGGCCTCTGGGCTGAAGAAGAACTATACTTGCTGTGTTCTTTGGGTAGGACTGCCGAACGGAGTAGCCTGGAAAGCGAAGGGTCGCTGCAGCGAAATGTCAAGTCTGTTTGTCAAATGACAAATTTTTGTCCGTTGTAAGATGAATCTGTGAGCGCATCTTGCAAGACGCAATTTTGAACCCGGAGAAGTGACACATTTGCGTCTTCTGCTAGACATTTTTTTTCAACTGTAAATACAATATTGTCGCAACGCAAGTTTCAAAATAGCATCTTGTTAGATGCGCTCACAAATGCATCTTGCAACGGACAAAAAATGCCCTTGAACGCTTTTTCGCAAAGTAGACCATTCCTCATCCCGTTACTGCTTAATTTTTTGCCGGCCTTTCTCTGTAGGTCAAGTGGTGGATCACCCTTAACGAGCCGTACACGCTGTGCCAGGAGGGATACGGCAACGGCGCTAAGGCTCCCCTAGTGGTGGCAGAGGGCCGGGCTAACTACCTCTGCGGACACACCATGCTCAAGTCGCACGCCCGCGCATACCGCCTGTACGAAAAGAAGTACAAAAAGTCCCAACAAGGTAAATACACACTAAATGGACAGAGACAACTTTTGTACGTATGCTAGATGTACATTAGTTGTACATTACGTACAAATTACGGCATTTGTTCATTGTCTAGGTATAATTTGTACATCCGTACAGACAAATTTGATCCAGATGTACTTAAAAGCACAACTAACCTAGGCACAAAAGTTGTCCATCCCCATTAGGAATTCAGTAAAAATATAAAATGCTCTAGTTGCGAGCGGGCACCGGTCCTAGGGGCCTCCTTTGTGTGTCGGCGACGTTTCGTGGCTTGACTTTGAAGTCACTAGCGCACTTCCGTTAAAAT